TTTGTTTTTTAATCCAAAACCACATGGAGAAATCCCATTGGACCAGGAAGATGCTGATGGAGAAATCCCATTGGACCAGGAAGATGCTGATGGAGGAATCCCATTGGACCAGGAAGATGCTGATGGAGAAATCCCACCTCCCTGCACCACTGTTTAACTTGACCCTCCTCTTGTTTCTCCAGACGTCCCTGGACCCGTGAAGAATCTCCAGGTTGTCGACACCGCCGACGGCGAGGTGAGTCTGGCGTGGGAGGAGCCTGAGAGCGATGGCGGCGCTAAGGTCATTGCCTACGTTGTTGAGAGACGCGACGTGAAGCGTAAGACGTGGACTCTGGCCACGGATCACTCCGAGAGTCCGGAGTACACAGTGACCGGACTCCAGAGGGACTCCATGTATCTGTTCAGAGTCTGCGCCAGAAACCGGGTCGGCAGCGGACCCAACGTGGACACCGACAAACCCGTACAGGCAAAGAACAAGTTTGGTAAGACTGGATTTCAATTTGAAGTGATAGATTCAAGGTGTATTATTGGGTTGACACGAGCACACATAAACTACACAGGAAAACAAATACCGTTAATTACAAAGGCATCCATTTGTTTTCTTAAATGCAGTTTTGTTGTTGTGTTTGTGTGTTTTGAGCATATTTTATAGACAGATAGTGAAGTTTTGGTCTAAGTACATTGGTACACCAATTTGATTAGAGCAGGTGATGAGAAACAGTTTTGACCTAATGATGCTTTTCTGATGGGCCTAAAGGGATCATATGTTTTCCAAGTTTTGATATGTGTGAGCGAGAAACAACCGTGAGGAAACGGGAATGATAAAAATGTAAAATGAGTGCTCAGGTTCCTGACTTGTTTTCTGTGTCCGATGACTTCCAGACGTTCCCGAGGCTCCTCTGAACGTCATCGTTGGGAACGTGACGAAGTTCGGCTGCACCGTCTCCTGGGATCCTCCGGAGTCTGACGGCGGCTCGCCCATCACCTCCTTCATCATCGAGCTGCGCGACCGCACCTCTGTGAAGTGGACGCCCGTGCAGATCACGAAGGCCGACGAGCTGAGCGCCATCGTCAACGACGTCATCGAGAACAAGGAGTACATCTTCAGAGTGAAGGCGCAGAACAAGGCCGGCGAGGGGAAGCCCAGCGCCGCCTCGCGCCCCGTTAAGATCATGGACCCCATCGGTAAGCTAGCATTAGCTAACTAGCCTAACTCACACAGACTTTAACACATCTTTGCATACAGCAACACATTAAACGCATACATCTCTGCAATACTTACACCACTGTTTATTTAAGTTCTTTCTGCTGCTGTTATGAAATCCGCTTTGTCCCGGCCTAAAACACTGCGACAGTGTGGGATCAGATCTACTTAATCGATCCCAATCTGGGGTACTACCCCCTCACAGCAGCGTGTTAAAACAAGGCCTAAACGGTATAACCCCTGAAGTGCATGTAGTGATATGTATGTTCTGATCCCCCCCTGCAGAGAGGCCCAGTGTGCCCCTGAACCTGGTCTCGCAGGACCAGAACAAGAACTCTGTGCAACTGAGCTGGGAGACGCCGCTGAGGAACGGAGGCAGCACGATCACCGGATACATCATCCAGCGCTGCGAGGAGGGAACCGACAAGTGGATGCGGTGCAACACCCGCCTCTGCCCAGACCTCTGCTACAACGTACGGAAAAAACACCTCGGATACATCTTCAATAATGTCTGATACGGGACTTTAATTAGTTTGAAGTTTGAAGCTGATCATTTCAGTAAAAAGTGCCTAAATGTCAGGCTATTTAAACACTCTTTTTTGTGCAGCTGCAAAATCATTTCACAGTTATTTGCTTCTATTGGCTGCTTCAAAATAAAAGCCCTCCAGTGGATCCTTCAAAGTAAAAGTCTTCTAAAAGCATGTGGCCTTCACGGTGAAGTCTTTAAGCCCTTTACTCAAGTCTTTTGCAGCTTCTCCCCATTAAAAGTCCTCCAGCAGTGGTTTCAAAGTAAAAGCCCTCATGCTCCTTCAAAGTAAAAGCCCTCCTGCTCCTTCAAAGTAAAAGCCCTCCTGCTCCTTCAAAGTAAAAGCCCTCCTGCTCCTTCAAAGTAAAAGCCCTCCTGCTCCTTCAAAGTAAAAGCTCTCCTGCTCCTTCAAAGTAAAAGCCCTCATGCTCCTTCAAAGTAAACTTATATTTTATTTTATTTTGACACTGTTCCTGTACGTGTTACCTTCAGGTGTCTGGTCTGAAATACGGGAAGAAGTACAACTACAAAGTGTTCGCTGAGAACGCCGCTGGACTGTCCGACCCGTCCAACACCATCGGCCCCCTGCTGGCCGACGACACACACTGTGAGTGTTTTAATTATCACTGACTCTAAAAATGATCAAATATAAATACAGTAAAAGGTCCAGTTCCCATCATGCACCTCTCTCCCCCCTGCAGTCGCTCCTTCCTTCGACCTGAGTGCGTTCAAAGACGGTCTGGAGGTGATCGTGCCGAATCCACTCACCATCAGGGTCCCGATCACCGGGTACCCCACGCCCGTCGCCAAGTGGACGTTCAGAGAGAAACAGCTGAGCACCAACGAGGAGCGCGTCTCCATGACGACCAAGTCCTCGTTCACGGAGCTCATCGTGATGCCGAGCGTCCGCCCCGATAAGGGAACCTACACCCTGACGCTGGAGAACGACGTGACCTCCGTCAGCGGAGACATCGAGGTCAATGTCATCGGTACGATTTCACAAAGATTTACACTTTTTCAATAGAAACTTCGATCACACATTTTTTACCATTTACATTTTTTTGTTGTATGCATTCACAGCTTGGCGTTCATTTATTTAGCCGTGTTAACTTTTCTGGACACATTCTTCTTAATATAATCCTTTCATTTGTTACAGATAATTATTAAAAAATGTTACCACATTTTCTTTCAAAAACAATTCATTCAAAATGTTTTAACACATTTCTGCCACGTTTGACTGTTCTGAGATCAGCCTTAGTAGTTTCAGGGTAGTCTGGTTGTTCCAGTTAAAAACCTTTCTGTTTTAATGTGTGTGTATTAATGTATTTGTGCTCTCTGCAGCGGCGCCCAGCGCCCCGAAGGACTTCAAGGTTCTGGAGGTGACCCGGCAGCACGTGCACCTGAGCTGGGAGGCGCCGGAGCACGACGGAGGAAGCCCTCTGATTGGGTACCAGGTGGAGAAGAGAGACCTGTCCCGCAAGACCTGGGTCAAGGTAACACTGTCTATCCTAAATAATTATTCAATTCAAGATTCAAAGATTCAAGATTCAAAGGTGTTATCATCAGATGCTCAGCAGCTACAGTGTAGAAATGGCAATGAAATTCAACAATGCAACATATATAATAAAATACAGAAATACAAATAAAGAATAGTGCAAGAATATGATATGTACAAGAACAGAATATGAAATTAAATAATGTACATTAAGACAAAATTAAATACGGTTTATTGCGGTGATAACTACTTATATAAATAAGTAGATTATATGAAGTTCTAAATGATTCTAAACTATAATAATAATTAGTTAGCTTTCCTTGAGTATCACAGATTCATCATGTGTCTGGCATTTACTAAACCATCCCCCCCTCTCAGGTGACCGCTGGGATCCAGGACCAGGAGCTGACGGTGACCGACGTGATGGAGGGGAAGGAGTACCTGTTCAGAGTCACCGCCTGCAACAAGTGTGGACCGGGAGAGCCGGCGTACATCGACGAGCCCGTCAACGTGTCCTCGCCCGCCAGTGAGTCGCTGAGGCGTTAGAAACATATGTTTCACATAAATGAGTCTGAAAGAGTTGAGAGGTGTTCACCAGCGTGGAGACTGGGTCAACCGTTAGTACCCGGGATACTCAATGTTTGGATTTTTTAAATCTACAACAAATATTATTTGTAAAAATGTTTCCAAACATTTTTCCCAATTTTTTCCAAAAAGAGTTAAAATGTTCGTCTCATATTTGATCACAAAAAAAAAAAATATATATTTTCAAACATAGTAAAGGGAACGTATTTGAGGATGGGTCTTCCTCCGTCGTCTGAGTTAAAGATAAAACGTTATTATATATTATTATAGTCCAGAGGTTTCTTCCTACCCCTCTTTCTCTCCCCCTCTCTCCCCCTCTCTCCCCCCAGCGATCCCCGACCCCCCCGAGAACCTGCGCTGGAGAGACAAGTCGGCGAGCGGCATCTTCCTGACCTGGGAGCCTCCGAAATATGACGGCGGCGCCGGGATCCGCGGCTACAACGTGGACCGCCTGCAGAGAGGCACCGACAAGTGGGAGCCCTGCGGAGACATGGTCCCCGAGCTGAAGGTCCAGGTGACCGGCCTCGCCGAGGGCCAGTGGTACGCCTACAGGGTCCGGGCCCTCAACAAGCTGGGGGCCAGCAGACCCTGCAAGGCCACCGACGAGATCCAGGCCGTGGACCCCAAAGGTACCATCAGGGGTTATTTAACATATAATAATAAATACAAACATATACAGGAGCAGGACCAGAAACCTCTCTCAAGTTAGGTACCCGCGTCCATCAGGGGTTATTTTAAACATAGACAGGACCAGAAACCTCTCAAGTTCTTGATAAGATAAGATGTACTTTCTTGATCCCAATTCACAGTAAAAGCCCTCCTGCTCCTTCACAATAAAAGCCATCCAGCTCCTTCATAATAAAAGCCCTCCTGCTCCTTCACAATAAAAGCCATCCAGCTCCTTCACAATAAAAGCCCTCCTGCTCCTTCAGAATAAAAGCCCTCCTGCTCCTTCAGAATAAAAGCCCTCCTGCTCCTTCAGAATAAAAGCCCTCCTGCTCCTTCACAATAAAAGCCCTCCTGCTCCTTCACAGTAAAAGATTCATTGTTTTAAACAAATCATTTCTTTGTGCAAAACAACCAAAAACGAATAACTTTTACAAGGAAAAGAAATAGCAGCATGAGTTCGGAGGTCCTGCTCAGAAGCACTCAGGGTTTGGTTTCTAAATACTAGTTTTAGATAAAGTAGCTCAGCTCCTCATGACATTACTCTCCCCCCTGCAGAGGCTCCAGAGATCCAGCTGGACGCCAAGCTGCTGGCCGGCCTCACGGCGAAGGCGGGCAGTAAGATCGAGCTGCCGGCCGAGGTGAAGGGGAAACCCGAGCCCCGCGTGAAGTGGACCAAAGCAGACCTGGTTCTGAAGGCGGAGGACCGGGTCTCCATCGACACCACCCCCGGACACTCCACCGTCACCATCGCCAAGACCCAGAGAGACGACAGCTCCACCTACATCATCGAGGCCACCAACAGCAGCGGGCGCGCCACCGCCACCGTGGACGTCAACATCCTGGGTGAGAGACTTGATCTGGAGCCTTTCTTTTCATAAGGCTGTTCCTCAACACTGTCCCTGGTGGTTTGAGAGGGGGTGTTCACTTCTAGAGGCTTTTACTTTGAACAATCTCCAAATGGATAGAAAGCTATGCACGTTTTCATCTAACAGGTTAAACTTCCAAAAACAATAATATTGTGTGTTTTATAAAATACTGCTATACTGTGTTTGACCAAATATCAATTTAGTTTATTTAGTAAAAGATACAGAATTATGGAAATGTGTGGGAACTATAACATAGTTTGTTTCTTAATTCCTGGATAATAATTGAAGCAGTCCGTCAGTAAGTTTGAGTTTGATTTAAAAACATTTATTTTAATTATAAAACATTGAGACATGAACCTGAATGTCAAATGTGGACTGTCTGAAGGTTACACATTTACAAACCTGTGGGGACCCTTAAAAAATGAATTTCCATAATCCCTACTCTCTTATGTCCTGGATAATAATCACCCTGTCCCCCCCCTCAGATAAGCCCGGCCCCCCCGCGGCCTTCGATATCTCGGAGATCACCAACGAGACGTGCTTCCTGGCCTGGAACCCGCCCCGAGACGACGGAGGATCGAGGGTCACGAACTACATCGTGGAGCGCAGAAACGTGGATAGCGAGATCTGGCACCGCATGTCCTCCACCATCAAGCAGACCACCTACAAGGCTGTGGGCCTCACCAAGTTCAAGGAGTACCTCTTCAGGGTCTTCGCCGAGAACCAGTTCGGAGTGGGACCCCCCGCGGATCACTTGCCCATCATCGCCAGATACCCCTTCGGTACGACACACCAACAAACTCAAACTGAAAGGTGTTATCATCAGTGTAGAAATGGAGATGAAACTCTTCTGACCTGAGCTCCTCCAACAACGCAACATGTATAATCAAATAGTGCAAGAAGTCTATATCCATGTAGATAGAATATGATATGCACAAGAACAGAATGGGAAATTATATAATCTACATTAAGACAAAATTAAATACGGTTTGATTGCGGTGATAACTATTTATATGAATAAGTGGATTGCAAGATGACAAACAGATGAGTGTTTACGGGGCTCTCTACAGAGCTCAGGTGTTTTGCTCAGGATCTAAGTGTCCTGGTTGATCAAATGAGAGACAGTCACTTATGTTGGGGCAAGGTTATGTAAAGCCTTGTAAATCATTAAAGCACTTTAAAATCTATTCTGAAGGGAACCGGTAACCAGTGCAGCACAAGCTCAATGTGTGTTTCTTTGGTACCTCCACTGTGTCTAACCCCCCCTCCCGTCCTCAGACACCCCCGGCGCTCCCTACAAGCTGGAGGCGTCGGACATCGCCAAGGACTCGGTGACGCTGGCCTGGTACGAGCCGGACGAGGACGGAGGCAGCCCGATCACCGGGTACTGGGTGGAGCGCTACGAGGCCGACCTCGACAAGTGGATCCGCTGCAACAAGCTGCCCATCAAGGACACCAACTACAGGTGAGACCCCCCCCTGGAGAGAGAGGAAACACCTCCTGTCCCCTGCTCTGGAGCTAAATGGTTTTCTTTAAAACAAATATATATTTATTGAATTTTCACAACATAATCAAGAAGGAGCATGACACCAATATGTGCCCCCTTTTTGTCCCACTTGTCCCAAACACAGAAAACATTCTCCACACATGCAATACAACAATACAAATAAATGAGGTCAAAGAAAAAGAAAATAATTATAAAAAAGTAAATAAATACCAAAAATAAATAACTTATATAAAGAAACAAAGACAGCACAACAGTAGAAGGAATAAAGGCTTGTTAGACATTGTAAACTGTATGGAAGGTCAATGGTGTTCTGAATGTGTTTTTGGTTGTTATCCTGATTTACAGCTGAAGAGATTTCAACGTGAGCCCTAAAACCCCTAAAACTCTCTCTTCTTCGTTGGTTTCCAATCTCTTCATTGTTGTTATCCCCTCTGCAGAGTCAAAGGTCTTCCCACCAGGAAGAAGTACAAGTTCAGAGTCCTGGCGGAAAATCTCTCAGGAACCGGAAAACCCAGCGCGGAGACGGACCAGATCCTGATCAAAGACCCCATCGGTAGGACTTTCACTCAGAACAGATAAACACACTAGAGGGCATAGGGTAAAAACTGACGCTAACAGATATCACCATGAAACTCCCCCACTTCATTACTGGCGTCAACACAATTATTTTTTATATTACAAGTTTACTGAATTTGTTGTATATGCTAATGATGCTAATGCTAACATTTGACACACATGAGGTGTTCTCATCAGATGCTCAGCAGCTTCAGGGTAGAAATGGCAAGGACATTATTCTGACCTGAGCTCCTCCAACAACACAACATGTATAATAAAATACAGAAATACAAATAATAAATAGTGCAAGAAGTCTATATCCATGTAAATAGAATGTGATATGTACAAGAACACAATATGACATTAAGTAATGTACATTAAGACAAAATGAAATACGGTTTATTGCGATGATAACTATTAGTAGATTGCAACTCAGACACAGTTATTGAAATAAACTCCTGATTGTCTCAC